CACCGCTGTCACCCGTGGCAACCGGTACCGCGAGGAAGGTAAGAGGAAGGTGTGACGAAGGTCGGAGGAAGTTGAGAGGAAGGTATGGGTAAGGTGGAAGGAAGCTGATTGAGAGGAAGGTGAGAGGAAGGCAGGTGGGGCATGGATGAACGTGCAGATGGAAGCTCTCCCTGTGAACAGGAGACATGCACGTTCATGTGAAATGTATGTGAGCAGCAGTGGAGGGCATGTGAGCAGTGCATGTGCAAACGTGTTCGAGGCGAACCGAACAGGTGTTCGCCCATGTGCTCATCCCTACTCATAGAGTAAGCTGGGTGCACTCAGCTTGGCATGCGAGGTTACTGCCGTCCCCCCCCTCGCCTTCTGCCCCAGCTTGCACCCATTGTCTCACATCACCGCTCCTCTCCCTGCCTCCGCCTGTTCACGTGGGCTGTGTCTTTGGCGCTCTGTGCCAGGGTCGCACTGTTTGACACTCGTTTCTCTCTCGCTCTCTCCTTCCTGCACTCTCCGCACCCTCTCCTCCCCTCCACGCCCCCCTGCCCGCCCCCTTCCCCCCATGCCCCCCTGTCCGTCTGCAGCGGTGTCAGTGGCGCGGTCAGCAGTGATAGGCGGCGACACGCTGCTGGGGGAGGGAACAGTGGTGGCGGAGAGGGCGGTGGTGCGCGGGTCAGTGCTGGGGGCGCACTGCCTCGTGGGCGAGGGGGCCGTGGTGGAAGGAAGCTACCTGTGGGGCGGTGTCACGGTGGGCGCGGGGGCCGTGGTGCAGCATGCAGTGCTGTGTGACGGCGTGCAGGTCATGGCTGGCGGCACTGTGAACGCTGGCTGCGTGCTTTCGTTTGATGTGAGTGCTCTCCTTTGACGCCTGGTGCTGGAATGGGGGTGTGGGGATGAGGTGCTGCTGTGTGACGGCGTGCAGGTCATGGCTGGCGGCACTGTGCACCCCGGCTGCGTGCTCTCCTTCGATGTGCGTGTGCTGCTGCTGGGATGGCACATAGGCCAGGGGGAAGGGGGTGGGCATGTGGGCATGTGGGCATGTGGGGATGTGTGGCTGTGTGAATGTGGGCATGTGGGGATGTGTGAATGTGGGCATGTGGGCATGTGGGGATGTGTGAATGTGGGGGTGCCGCATGTGGTGCTGTGAGATGGCGTGCAGGTGATGGCAGGGGGGCACCGTCAACGCCCAGCTGTGTACTCTCCTTTGATGTGAGCGTGCTGCTGCTGGGATAGCGGGGGGAAGGGCGTGCTGCTGGGATAGCGGGGGGAAGGGCGTGCTGCTAGGATAGCGGGGGGAAGGGCGTGCTGCTGGGATAGCGGGGGAAAGGGCGTGCTGCTGGGATAGCGGGGGGAAGGGCGTGCTGCTGGGATAGCGGGGGGAAGGGCGTGCTGCTGGGATAGCGGGGGGAAGGGCGTGCTGCTGGGATAGCGGGGGGAAGGGCGTGCTGCTGGGATAGCGGGGGGAAGGGCGTGCTGCTGGGATAGCGGGGGGAAGGGCGTGCTGCTGGGATAGCGGGGGGAAGGGCGTGCTGCTGGGATAGCGGGGGGAAGGGCGTGCTGCTGGGATAGCGGGGGGAAGGGCGTGCATGGTGGCGTGCAGTGGACATGAGCAGGGGGGCGAACGCATGTTCGCTTCGCCCCAACATGTTCGGGGGCGAACCGAACATGCGTATTCTTTTTGCCTTAAATGTTCGCCTGAACATGTTCGGGTTCGGCCCTAACATGTTCGGGCGTTCGCGGCGCGCATAGGAGAAATGCCTGAACATGGAACATGGAACATGGAACATGTTCGGGAGTTTCTCCCGATTCCGCGAACATCAAATGTTCGCGGAATAACCAGCGCGACTTGTCGCGCTGGTTGGGTTTGAAACCTACGGAACCAACAGATCGAGCTCATTGAGAGCTCGATCTACCTTTTTAGGGTAAGACTAGCCTATCCGCCTCCTATACTTCATTCCTAAGCTAAAGCGCCCATGTTAACCGTTAGTTAGGCACGCACACATGTCCTTTTAAGGCCGTTTTTTAGGGTAAGCCTAGCTTATACGCCTCCTACGGTATTCTTCGTTCCTAAGCTAAAGCGCCCATTTTGACCGTTAATTAGGCACACATTGCCTTTTAAGGCCGTTTTTGTCTTGAGTCAGTGGGTGAACATCGAACATGTTCGGTGTTCCGGCGAACGTGTAAAATGTTCGCCCACGGTTGACATGTTCGCCCACGGTTGACATGTTCGCCCACGGTGGGCGAACACCGAACACCAAGTTTTACAAAAAAAAAAAAAAAAAAAAAAAAAACATTATTCGGGCGAACCGAGTGCATGTTCGGGCGAACACGTCTAGCGTGCAGTCATGGCATAGGGGCAAGGGGATGTTTGGATGTGATGTGGGGATGCGGGGAGATGTGGGAATGTGGGGATTTGGGGATGTGGGGATGTGAGGGTGTGGGGATATGGAGATGTGGGGATGTGGACATGGTGTGTGGTTGTGTTCAGGTAGCAAGTGGTGTCCATTAGGCTGTTGCTGCTCGTCTCCCCTCCCTCTTCTTTCACCCATTTGCACACACATATGCACGCACACACACATGCATGCATCCACGCATGCACACACACATGCATATGCGCACGCACACACATGCGATTCTCTCTCACCCGCTTCACCCCTCTGCCCGTCCCTTCTCCCATAGTAGGTGGTGGTGGCAGCCAATCACGTGGTGCCAGCTGGCACGCGCATAGCGAGGGAGCAGCAGCCGGAGGAGGAAGGGAGCGATGATGAGAACACAGAGGGGCATGGCATGGGTGAGAGGAGGGATACTGGGAGATGGGTGGGATGGGATGGGTATGGGTGGCATGGCATGGCATGGCATGGCATGTCAGGGTGTGAGGCAGTGACTTCGACAATACAATAGTTGCAAATGAGAGATCTAATTCTGTCTCAACCTATCTGTTGTCTTGTCTTTGTTTTTTTTGTTTATTCTTTTCCGTTGTTCTCTCTCGTTCGCATCCCCTCCTCCGGCATCAGCTCCACCTGCAGTGCGCAGGCAGAAGGGCAAGCGAGGTGACGAGGAGGATGAGGATGAGGAGGAAGAAGAGGATGAGGAGGGGGAGGAGGATGAGGAGGGAGAGGAGAAGGAGCAGCTATTAGATGAAGACGAGGGTCCGTGTGATGTGCAAGCTGTGAGTGCCATGCTATGTGCTCACATTGCTCGTGTAACGTGTTGTGCCATGTGCATAATTTTGAGTGTCCATGTCTCCATATGTCTCACATCGCCCCGTCCCCACATCTCTCCTTCCCACCTCCCTCATACCACCTTGCCCTCGCACCTCTCATCGCTCCCTTCCGTCGTAGCAGCCCAGCAAGGAGACTCTGCATTGTCGCCAAACCTTCCATCTTTCTTCTCCTCCTCCCTACACCCCGCCCTCTCCCCCTTTCTTACCCATCCCCCTCCCCATTGCCTCCTTCCCCGTCCAGGCCCCCTGTCGTCCTTCCCCCATCTCTTCCCCCGTCTCTCCTCCCGTATCCCCCCTCTCCTCTGCCTGAGAAGGGAAGGGAAGTGGCATTGCATGGGTACCAAACCCGCCATCCGTCCGTTCCTCCACCCCCTTTGCCTCGCCGACCACTACCCCCTTCGTACCCCCCCCTTTCCCCTCCCTCCCTCCCCCGCCATCCTCCCTTCCTCCCTCCCACCCCCCCGCCCTTCCCCCCTGGCAGGTGGGTGAGGGCGGGAGGGGCTTCGCCTGGCCGCCCAGAACGCCCGCTGCAGCAGCCGTGGTGCGGCGGCAGTCACTCGCACCAATCACAGCCCTCGAACTCGCTGAGCTGGCGAGACTGGCGATTGGAAGGGAAGAGGGGGAGGGGGAGGAGGGGGAGGAGGAAACAGGAAGGGAAGGAGGGGCGGCACTGGTGGGAGGGGAGGAAGAGGAAGACGAGGAGGAGGAGGATGGGGAGGACGAGTTTAGCAAAGAGGTGAGCCGTGTGGGGCGGAGGGGTGGTGGGAGGGGTGGAGCGGGGGTGGAGGAGGGGGTGGAGGAGGGGTGGAGGGGAGAGAAGATGGGGCGCGGGGCGGGAGGGAGGCAGGGCGATGGAGAGGGGAGAACGGAGGAAAATGCAATGAGGAAGGGAGGCGCGAGAGAGGGTGCAAGGCATTAGCAATGCATGTGCAATGGGGGTTGGTGGACGATTGTAGGATGGATGATGACAGCATGTGGTGTCATGGACATGTGGTGCCATGGGCATGTGGTGCCATGGGCATGTGGTGCCACGGGCATGTGGTGCCATGGGCATGTGGTGCCATGGGCATGTGGTGCCATGGACATGTGGTGCCATGGACATGTGGTGCCATGGACATGTGGTGCCATGGACATGTGGTGCCATGGGCATGTGGTGCCATGGGCATGTGGTGCCATGGACATGTGGTGCCATGGACATGTGGTGCCATGGACATGTGGTGCCATGGACATGTGGTGCCATGGACCTGACGCTTAGCCTGTGGCATGTTTGCTTATTTTTTAATCTATGAGTGTCTTTATGGTGCATGGATGCATGGCATGGCATGGCATGGCATGGCATGGCATGGTATGGCATGGCATGGCATGGTATGGCATGGCATGGCATGGCACTGCATGTCACCCCATGGCATGGCACGGCACGGCACTGCATGTCACCCCATGGCATGGCACGGCACTGCATGTCATGGCATGGCATGGTATGGCATGGCATGGCATGGCATGGCATGGCATGGCACGGCATTGCATGTCACCCCATGGCATGGCATGGCATGGCATGGCATGTCATGACATGGCATGGCATGGTATGGCATGGCATGGCATGGCACGGCACTGCATGTCACCCCATGGCATGGCATGGCATGGCATGGCATGGCAGGTGGAGGAGATGTTCAAGCGGGCGGCGGCGGAGGGGGTGGCTCAAGACAACGTGGTGCTGGAGGTCAATGCACTCAAGTGAGTCAACGCGCTCAAGTGAGTCAACGCGCTCAAGTGAGTCAACGCGCTCAAGTGAGTCAACGCGCTCAAGTGAGTCAACGCGCTCAAGTGAGTCAACGCGCTCAAGTGAGTCAACGCGCTCAAGTGAGTCAACGCGCTCAAGTGAGTCAACGCGCTCAAGTGAGTCAACGCGCTCAAGTGAGTCAACGCGCTCAAGTGAGTCAACGCGCTCAAGTGAGTCAACGCGCTCAAGTGAGTCAACGCGCTCAAGTGAGTCAACGCGCTCAAGTGAGTCAGAGGGTATCTCATGTGACTGGTCCGCCCCGACCCGGTCCGTTGCTAAAATGTGCACGCCTGGTCCGGAATTCTGGTCCGTCGGACCCACTTCGCGGACCAGGCGTGGACCAGACACGGACTGGTCCACATGATACATCGCGTCACGGGCTGTACAGTTTTTACGAAAAAGCAACAGTAACGACGAGAACCAGACATGCTGAAATCGAGTTACCTTATTTCTGTGCCAGGTAAAATTCCCCATCCCGTCGAGCGCGAAAATAACGAATAGCGAGAAGTTTCGCAAACAAAAGTGGGAGCTGCTACAGTTTTCGGACGAGCCACGGGCTGGTCTGCCGACCAGATCAATGGCACCGTTGTAGTGCCATTCAAACTTTATAACACCCGCATCCTGGTCCAGTCCGTCGCTGGTTCAAACGCTGGTTCTCGAGCTCGTCCGTCGGGTCCGCGTCGGACCCACGTGGACTCGCGCATTTGAGACACGTCCTCATTGTGGTCAACCTGAGTCAACGTGGTCAAAGTGGGTCATTGCGGTCAACTCAAATCAACGCCCTCAAGTGAGTCAGTCCTATGTTCCGTCTCCTTGCCCACGCTGAGCGCAGCTTGTTCGCTCCGCTCCTCGCGCATCCCTCCCCACACACCATCTTATCATATCCTTCCCCCTTTCCTCTTTCCCCCACCCCCCTCCACTCTCCCCCGTCTCCCCCTTCTCCATCGCGTGCCAGGCTGGCATACAACCGGTCCTTCGCGGACTGTGCGGGGGCCATGTTCCGAGGCATGCTCAACCTCGCTGCCTCGCAAGCTGCCCCCGGGGCACCCACCAGTGAGTGGTCGCACCTCGGCTGACCAACGCCATCTGTTATTCCACCCAACCACACCCATCTGCCTCGCACACCACCCTGTGGCACCCACCTGCGAGCTCAGCTGCCTGATTGATCACCCTTTGGCTGCCACGACTATACAAGCTACCACCCTCAACTGCTCTTCCCCAGATTTACCTATCTGCCCATCACGCCCACAGGCGCCCACCTCTCAGCCCCAACTGCCGGAATTTGTTTAGAATATTCAGAAGAACCCTGCAGATCCTTGGTTCCCACCCTGGCCCTGCTCTCTCCCTCCTTGTCTGCTCACCCTGTTCCCCCTCCCCGCCCACTCTCTGCCCGCCCGCCATCCCTCCCCGCCCTGCCCCCCCCCCTGTCCCGTCTCGCCCCGCTCAGAGGAGCTGCTCGCGTCCACGCGTGCCGTGGTGACTCGATGGACGTCGCTTCTGAGAAGGTTCCTCAAGGGCACCGACGACGAGGTGCGTCCCAGAAGAGGGATGGGGATGGGTTAAGGTAAGAGGCAGAGGAGAGGGGGGGGGAAATCTGGTGGGGGAGGGGATGAGGGAGGGCACGGGGGTGGGGGAGCGGGAGGGGGCGGGGGGTCGTTGGTGGCTAGGGGCTAGGTGGAAGGTGGGCAGGGAAAAGAGGGAGAAACACCGCCATTTCAGAAAGGTTCCCAATGCCACTTCCTCTACCCGTTTCTTACCCATCCTCTCTACCCATCCCTGCCCCTTCCTATCTCTGCCGTTTCCCATTTCTTGCTCTCACCGCCAACCCCTTGTTGGAATTGGGGTGCACTTTGTGTGTTAACCTTGAAAGTTTGAAGGTTTGCAAAATTTAGTAAAATTAATTTTAGTTGGGTTGGGTGTAGACTTTCATCCCCAGCCTATCCAACCCTATCCGAACCTATCCATTCAAAATCTCCTAGGATTCCCTTCCGATTGCATCTTATCCACCCAACCCCTCCTAGTTTCTGGTACTTAAGGTCATGTATCAGACTCTCTAATCAATCAATTCAACCCGTATTCTGACACCCCTCACATCTTCCCCCTCTCACCGTCACACCCCATTTTTTCTCCCTCTCACTGTCTCCACTCCACCTCCCCCCCTTTCGCCCCCTTCCTTTCATCCCCCTTTCACCATCCCCCCCCCTCTTTTCCCCTCCCCCCCGGGCAGGTGGAGGTGCTGCTGACATTCGAGGAGGTGTGCAACGAGGCTCGCCCTGAGTTCGCCCCCATCTTCGTAAATGTGAGTGCCGCCAAAAAGTGCCGGATTAAAGTATCGCGTGGTGCGCAGTGTGAGAATCGTGGCAACCACTGGGTTGTCCATCCGCCTCTTGCTTCTGTGCGTTTCTCCTGTGACCTCCACGCTCCTCTCGCTCATTCATCATCCCTTGTTCCGCTCTCTCCCCATGTATGGCCCGCCTCTTCCCACGTGTGCTCCGCCCGCCTCTCCTTTCACTGTGTGTCGCTAACTCAGTCCCCAAGTCCTCGAAGCGCTGTACGATCGGGACATAGTGAGCGAGGAGGTCGTCATGCCACAACACCCACCCCTCATTTTTCTCCCCTCGCTTCCCTCTCCCCTTCACTCCCACCCAGGCGCTGTACGACAGGGACATAATAGGCAGCCATGGGTCATGGCCCTTCCTCCCATTCCCCCCCACTCTCTCCCCCTCCTTCGCTCCATTCCCTCCGCCTCAGGTGCTTGAAGCCCTGTACGATCGGGACATAGTGAGTGAGGAGGCCGTCATGGCGTGGGCCGATGAGAAGCAGTTTGCCGACGCCGCTGACAAGGTCTTTGTCGAGCGATCCGCAGCGTTCATCAAGGTGAGATGAACGGTGCAAATTGAATCCTGCTGTGTGGGCGTTACCCTCCCCCATGTGTGGCACTGTGTGTGGGAATTGGGTCAGTGTGAGTGTGTGTGGGACTGGGGCAGTGTGAGTGTGTGTGGGACTGGGGTCAGTGTGAGTGTGTGTGGGACTGGGGTAGTGTGAGTGTGTGTGTGTGGTGCTGTCAGCATGGGTACTATGAAGTGTTGAAGGGTCCATACTTCACAGGAAGGGCGTTGGTTCTCGTTAATCTTGCCAGCCCCCCTGTTGTGTTGCCCCTGCTCTGCCCTTCCCCTGCCCTCCCCCCCCCCCAATCAGTGCACTCTTCCACTCCATCTCTCCCTGGCCCCATTTCCCGTTTTCTTTATTCCTCTCTCCCTCTTGGCTCATTCTCCCTTGTCGCTAGCCATCCTCGTGCCACCACTCCAGTTCACCCTGACCCCAATGTGCATGTCCTAAGTTCCTTGCTTCCCCTCTGCTGCTCTTCACCCGCTAATGCTGCTCCGTCTGCTCTCTGCTCTGCCCTCTCTGCTGCTCTGCCCTCTAATGCTGCACTGCCTCCTCTGCTGCTCTGCCCCCTCTGCTGCACTGCCCCCTCTGCTGCACTGCCCCCTCTGCTGCCTGTCTGCCCTCCACAGTGGTTGAAGGAAGCCGAGGAGGAGGAGAGCGATGATGAGTGAGTGCCCGCCTTCACATGCAGCTCAGTCGCACAACCATTAGAGAACACTCTGGTTAGGAGGGAGCACAGTGGTTTGCACGACAGTGGAGGTTAAGTGAGCCAAGGCACAATACATGCACGAGATATTGAGCATGGAGTGATGTGCAAGGGTGTCACGTCATGTGATGTGTCCATGTTGTCAATATAAAAGAGACTTGAGATGAACTGGATATGGGGTGTCTCCACGTGGATCCAAACTGTGTTCCCCCAAAAACGTTCTGCTACGGTAAAACTTGCCAGAGTACAAAGGCGTCTTGAGGGCTATTGCATGGGACATTGTTCATCTGGCCAAATATCAGCCTATGACCGAAAAAGGCAGGAAAAGGAGTGTTTTGCAGACGCACCTTTACTGGTATAGCTAGTGTTAGCGGCTGCCATCATCCTAGGCATACGGAGTGACAACAAGTCCCAACCTTCACATCTCGTACTCAAACCAACTTTACCGGTATGCTGCTACCTCGACTACGGTAATGGTTAGTAGTACGCCTCTACACCTGCGCTGCAGAATGAAGGAACAATACTTGGGGATGCAGGCCAGGTTTCTCCTGTTCCTCCAGCTGCTGCAGCCAACCATCGATTCAGGATTTGGCACAAGCACTCCAGCATTTGCCAGGCCCGTGTCTCTTGCGCTGCATGGAAACCCGTTCGTCAAGCAGAGATATGCCTGAGCGTGAGAGCACCGAGAAGGGCCCATAATTCCTATGGTCTGGACAGCGCCTTTGCCCCTTATGATCCCTGCACGCATGTGTCGGTTCTCCTACAGTGAAGCATGGCCTGCCTTTCCTTGAGCAGCCTCTTGGGCGTATCTGGTAATTACAGCTCCATGGGTGTGTGTCTGCTACGCTCATTCCACTGCCGTGTCACCTATGCTCCTATGACCCTTAAGAAGATTCCACGGGTGTGTCGCGGGGCAGCGTGTTCCAGTTGGTTGAGCAGTTCCGCCCCTTCCACTCAAACCCCCTCTCCTCCATCCCCTCCCGGGCAGCCACGGGCAGCGCCGAAAAAAAGTCCCAGTCAGCCGCGAGCTGCTTCAGCACGGGCAGCTTGTTCCCGAGCCCCGGGCAGCAGTTGGCGTGCACGGTGAGCAGCGTGGAGAGCGAGTGGCCCATCTCACAGAAGCCCCCGAACTGGTTGGTGGGCAGGTAGCGCAGCAGCAGCGGCGAGGCCACGCGTGTGAAGGGGTTGGCCTCAGGGCGGATCCAGTTGAACACCTGCTGTATGCGGAACTGGGGGCACCTGGAGGGGGAAGAGAAAAGGGGGAACGTAGTCGCATGGGGTATGATGAAACACAAAGATGAACGCACACAGGGTAGTGCTGACTACCTGCTGCATGCGGAGCTGGAGGCACATGTGAAGCGGGAACAGGGGGTGGGTGATATTTGTGATGTGATGGGCATGATCCGGGCAGTTACAAGGCAACACACATCAACACACATGTGATGCCATACCCACTGCTCACCTTCAGTGCCACGCCAATATTAGTGTGCGGGTGATGGCACGTGCGGCAGAGAACCCCCCATTGGCCGCAACAGAGCCAAGCCACTCCAACTCGTACCTTCTGTGCCACGCGAGCCAGTCACTGAAGAAGCGCAGTGTGCGGCTGTTGGCCCGGGCCGCATAGAACCCCCCATTGGCCACAACCGAGCGTGGGTTGGGCGACCACCAGTCGGCGGACATCTGCAGGTCGTGCGGGCGGCGCCAGAGCAGCGGCAGTGGGTTGCGCAGCCAGAGGATGTCGGAGTCAGTGAAGAGCACATCGTAGCCCAGTGATAGCATGTGAGCCACCACCTGCACCTTGCGCCACACCTGCCCGAGATGGGAAAGCAGAAGGGGAGGAAGGTGTGTGTAAGAGACTTCAAGCATGGCTGACGGGCAGCCAGAGGATGTCGGAGTCGGTGAAGAGCACGTCGTACCCGAGGGCCAGCATGCTTGTTTCCACCGCCACCTTGTGCCACACCTGTTGGGTGGGACCGCAGAAGGCGACGTGTATGCGTGTGAGAGGGAGATCAAGTGTGTCATTGGTGAGCTAGCATGCTTGCTACCACCTGCCACTTGCGCCATTCCTGTGAGTGGGAATGGCACGGCCGGATGGCATCGTAGAGGAGGAGCCAGCCAGCGCGCTGGTATGAGGAATCTCAAGTGCGATGAGCAGGAGAGGGTGTATTTGCCCCGAGGAACCCACAGCGTGACAGGGAAGGGGTTGATAAGCCTGCTGCTTAAATGAGCCCTTCACAACTCCCCAGCCTCCGCCCCCACTGTGTCACCAAACGCCGGTGCAGCTGGAAAGTGCGAGTGGGTGGTGCATGGCTGCGGGGTGCCATGTGTGAGAGCCGTCCCGTTCAGGAATATTCCACGCCACTCTGCCACATGCACGCCTGCCTCTATTCCAACTCGAATATTCATACGCACCACGTGATTGTGATCCCACGCACCAGGTGAATATAAGCGCGCGTCATGAAGTGTTTCTGCCCGCCGCCCAGGTCCTCTCTGTGAGGCGCGTCCTCCTGCCAGTCCATGTAGCAGTTGAGCCCCATGGCGCAGCACGCCTCGAAGCTCGCGTCGTCATATGCCACTACCACCAGCCGCGCCACCAGCTCTCCCAGCGCAGAGCTATACGCGCCCTCTTCCGCCCCTGCTTCCCCCTCCCCGTCTCCGTCTCCCCCCGTCTGATACCTCTCCGCTGTCCTCCGCTCGCTTTCCCTCTCCATCCCTTCAACCCCTGCGCGCGTTCGAGTATCATCTCCGCCGCTCCCCTCCTCTTCTCCCCTTCCCTCCCCCTCCGCCTTCCTGTGGTCGCGCGCGCTCCGCTCCGCGCGCTCGACGGCGCGCAGGCGCGCGAGGAAGAAGCGCATCATGGGCGCCCACGCCTCGTTGAACGACACCACGATCACGGACCGCCGTGCGGCGCGCGCCAGCAGCTGCGCGGGCGACGCCGACTCCGCGTCCTCCGCGAACTCCTCGCCCGCCGCCGCCGTGTCGTCAGCGATGGTCATGCCGCCCCCGCCGCCTGCGGAAGCGCCGTTGGCGGCGGCAGCAGCGCTAATAGCGGACTGCACGGCCGCCTCGAGGACGGACTGGAGCGTTCTGATGGGGCCGTGCGGTCGAGCGGACGAAAGAATGTGAGGATGCGGGGATGAGGGGATGCGGGGATGCAGGGATGCGGGGATGTGAGATTGCGGGGATGTGGGGATGAGGGGATGTACGCACCGAAGGCGGTGAAGAAGGGGCAACAGACAAAGGCTTTTCATCATGATTAAAAGGTGTGGCAAGCGAAAACATAACGTGGTCACATCCCTGCGAAACTGGAAAGTGTGTCTGTTCCTTGCGACGTGCGTGTGTCGCATGCGCACGTGCGTCCGTATCCGTGTGACTCACCTGCACTTTGAGCAGATCGGCGCCTTCCCTTGTTGCCGTTCTCCCATCCCCCCAACCGCGTCTATCGCTCTGCTCGATGGTGCACCGCCAGGGGAGTTCCCCCGGAGCCGAGCAGGCCCGTCGGCGCCGCTGCTCCCCTCCGACCACCGCCGAAGCACCGACTCCGGAGATTCTCCGCGCGAGGCGCCCCGCGCAGCAGGCGGGGACGCGCAGTACTCCTCGCGGGTGAGCGGAGGGAGCGGCGCGGGGGTCGCGCGGGAGGAGGCGGCGGAGGCGGCGGAGCGGACGCGCAGGTGAAGGTGATTAAAGCCGGAGAAGAAAAAGAGGCACGTGAGAGACGACGCGAGCAGCAGCCATGCGAATAGCGACTGGCGGCCCTTCAGCGACGCGACTGGGAAGAGCGAAACAGTGCAGAGGACGAAGGCTAGCGGGGGATTGGCCGAGGCAGAGGGTGACAGTAACGGGTGCTCTATTCTGTGCAGGAGATGCATGTGCGGGTTCGCCGCGCCTGTGAAGGAGTGCGATCGATGCATTCGCGATCGCGACACGGCGCTGTTGCCGCCGTACGGCGTGCCGCTGCTGCCGTGATCGTTATGCGTTGCTTGACTGGGAGTTGAGGATTCCATCGCTACTAGGAACTACGAGGCGCGGCGGGTTTTAAAGTACCACCAGCATCACTTATAACTGTATCACCTCATTCGCTGGAACGACTGGTTTGGTAACTAGGTCCTCATAGCCTTATTTACTTGAAAGTCCTCCTTCAACGAAAGTGCATCGAGAGCAAAAGCAGAGAAAAATCAGCAAGAGCTGGAACCATGAGCAAAAAAGCTTGAATTTCGGGGTTCACTTGGATTCAGGTGACCAGCCAGCCGAACAAACCAGAAACCCCAGCAGCGGAATTTTACACATTTCCCCGCATTCGCCCCAACTGCAGGTTGTCCTCAAAATTTCGAAACCTGTCACCCTGGCCGAGTCGCATTCGTCCTCCCATTAGAAATGCGATTTGGCTCAAATCCATGGTCAGATTTGTCAGGCGCGCTTTGACCGCCTTATGAAGAAACCCACTATAAACAAACAACTTTTTCTTCCTTCTTGTCACCACCTCTACCGCACCGCGTGCAACACTGTTCCCGCCTTTCATCCAAACATCCCGTTACCACCTCGCGACATCGCCTCAACTACTGTTCCCGCCACCACCACCGTCGCGCCCAAACCACACGGCTCGGCTGGTAACGTGCGACTCGGCCCTACGCCTCGACAATTTCCAACCTCCTAAGTAGGGTCTGTTGGAATGACCGAAAGGTTATAATAACATTCCCGAAGGATCTCCACTCACGCGTCACTTCATAACGAAGCAACGCGTCTGTACCAGTACCGCAATAGCTCATATAGAGCATGCGGAAGATCGAGAGTCACCCGAAGGTCAACTGTCGAAGACAGTAAACGGTCGTGACTCTTGACCATCCAGTAACCGCACTTGGTAGTTACGCGATGCAACATGGTAACTGTCAAGAGGAGCAATAGTCATGGTTACTGTAGCAATGCAATTCAGTTAATAAGGGAATGTACCCCTCATAGTACATGGCTAGCTAGGATTGCTAGTTATATCCTTGTACTCCTATCTTATAATTATCTTGTTCTCTTTCAACTTTATCAACAAGGTCATTACTAAGGCTTCATTGTCTTCTCTCAACTTAGCAGACTTATCCTATCCACTACGATCCTTCAGTTATAACAGCATTGTATGAGAGCTAGAGTGGATTATAAGGCCTGTAAAGTTCTTGTTCTTCCTAGAACAAACTCTTTATAAATTACTCATCACAAACTACTACTCTGCATCACAATGGCTCCAGAAGGAAAAGCCACTGCAGACTCTCCGGGCCCACCACCAGCAACGCCTACTGCGCCATCAGCGGTGACCTCCGTCAGCGCCGCTCTCGTTAATCAGCTAGTCGCTCGCATCAACGCACTTGAGAGCCATCAAGCCATGAGCATCGATGGTGTCAGAATCTAGCAGTAGGAATGAATGAACTATGAAAGAGTTGGGTACAAGTATGAAACCCTAAAAGGGGCTGTACCCCATATTGGCTACCCCACTACAGCCTACACATATGTAACATGCATATACTTTGACACACCCCCATAGGCAAAGTGGGGGAGAGCAAGGGGTCACAAGACCATTCAAGAGAAGCAAAGCAAGCTCAGGGTGGATCACAACGTCACCACACACACTGAGCACAAGCAAAGGGCCACAAGGCCAGTTCACATGCAGAGGTATATATGCAAAGGCAATAGCACAGTGATCTCTACCTAGCAGAGCAAGCATGCAGGTATATATAAAGATCACAGTACAAGCAAAGTCTACAGCAAGTGAGGAAACGTGGGCACAAGGCCTAATAGAGTGCAGAAATGCTGATGATCACCAGACGGAAGCGCCTTGGTGAATATATCATCAGTGTTGGCCCGAGTGGCCACGTGAGCAAGACGAAGCTGACCACGCTGCTGCAACTCTCGAGCCAGGAAGTAACGCAGAGCGATGTGCTTCGTTCTGTGCTCCAGTCTGTGCTCCTGACACAAGGCAATGGCGGCCTTGTTGTCGACGTACAGCACTGGAGGAGAACGAGGCCGCTCTCCCAAGTCGGTCAGCAGGTAGGTGAGCCAGCGTAACTCCTGTGCAGCCATGGCTGTGGCGTAGATCTCAGCCTCACAACTGGAGCTGAGAATTGAAGACGAGCGTGTAGAACGCCAAGAAACCGAACCAGAGCCAAGACTGAAGGTGTAACCCTGTGACGACCGCTGCGTAGCCTGGTCGTCAACCCAAGAAGCGTCCGAGTGCCCATTGAGGACAACGTCGCCCCGTCCTCCAAGCACGAGCCCCATGCCCGATGTACTGCACAAGTAGCGCAGTACCCTCTTAGCAGCATCCATGTGCACCTTTCGGTGCCGACCAGGAGCCACGTAGCGAGCTAGAAGGCCAAGAGGGTACGCAAGGTCAGGTTGAGTGCAGGTCATCAGGTACATGAGGCAGCCCATTAGCTCTGGGTAAGGACCACTCGGCTCTACGGACTCGTCCGAAGGTGGAGCTGAGAGCGAGTGACCTGTAGCCAGAGGAGTGGCCTGTGCCGAGGACCAGGTGAAGCCGAAGCGCTGAAGGACCTGCTGCACCATGAGTGACTGAGTCAGTGTGATGGTGCGGCGTGCTCTGTCCCGGGTGATCTGCAAGCCAAGGTAACTGCGCAGCTCACCCAGGTCTGTGCACGTGTGTCTCTTCTGCAGCTCCGACTTCACCAGGGCGAGAGCCTCAGTGTCAGCAGTGGCAAAGACCAAGTCGTCAACGTACACGAGGATGTAGAACGGCGGCAGCGAAGTGTCGGTGCGCAGAAACAGCGACGGGTCAGCAGTGGAAGGAGCAAACCCAAGAGCCGCAAGTGTCGTCCTCAGTGTGTCGTGCCACTCACGCGGCGCCTGGCGGAGACCGTAGACTGGCCGCCGGAGGCTCCACTGGGTACCAGCAGGGAACGACCCAGTGAAGCCAGGTGGGCGGCGCAGCCAGATCTCCTCGTGCAGGCTGCCCTGTAAGAAGGCTGTGCTGAAGTCAAGAGAGTGAAGCTCGTAGTCACGCTGAGCGGCAACGTGCAGCAGCACCCGAAGAGTGGTCATCTTCGGGGTGGGGGAGAAGGTATGGAAGAAGTCTACTCCCTCTCGCTGACAGAAACCTCGTGCAACGTAACGCGCCTTGAAGACAGGCGGAGAACCCGGCGGCCGCTTCACCCTGAAAATCCACATGCCACTGACGATGTTCGCCCTAGGTGGGGGAACCTCGTCGATGTAAGTGCCTGTGGACTTCCAGGATGCCATCTCTGCGTCCATGGCTGTCTGCCACTGAGAGGAGTACTCACCCGCTATCGCCTCAGCGTAAGAGAGCAGGGTCGGGATGTCTGGAGCATCCGGGTCTCCCTCAGGGGCAAGCAGCATGGACACGAGATGAGGCGCAGCGGCTGCAAGACACTCAAGGTCCTCCTGCCTGTCCTCAAGGACGTCCGTGCCAAGAGCACACTCACCCCCGACGGATGGAGGACAGACAGACTCAGACTCAGCAACAAGAGTAGCGGCGTAGTCTAGACGACAGGCAGCAGCAAAGTCAACAAGCTCAGCGACTAAGGCAGACGCAGCAGCAGACTCAAACGATGGGCCAGTGACAACAGTGGGTTGCTCGCATGAGCCTCGGATGAAACATTTAAGTCTCATGCGAGCTTCGTTTGAGCTCCATGGGGTCTTCATTTAAGCGCTTCATGAGAGCTTCATTTGAGCGCGTCATGAGAGCTTCATTTGAGCGTGTCCTCCCTCTCGATGTGCATGCCCAAGTAGTAATTTGCCTCCCCCAGTGTCTTGCACTTGAAGTTTTGCATCAGCTTCTGCTGCACCTTCATCACCTCCTGCTTGCTGCTCCCAAACAGCAGGATGTCATCCACATACACAAGGAACATGACGAGGGTCTCCTTCTCCCCCATGAGGAAAAGGCTTTCGTCACATGCACTCGCCCTGAAGCCCATCTCCTCTAACACTGAAGACAGCTTCTTGTACCAGCAGCGTGGTGCTTGTTTGAGGCCATAAATGGCCTTTTTCAGCTTGCACACACGCCCAGTGCCATCCTCATAACCCGGCGGCTGCGACATGAACACCTCCACATCTATCAGCCCATAAAGAAAGGCGGTGGTGATATCCATCTGAACTATCACCCACCCACACACAGCTGCACCGGCGAGTAGAACACGCAGTGTAGGCGGCTTTGCAGTTGCAGCAAATGTCTCCTGGTAGTCCTCCCTTTCTTTCTGTTGGTAACCCCTTGCAACCAGCCTGCTCTTGTAAACTGACACTGCTCCTTTGTTGTCAGTTTTAATCCTTGGAATCCAGCCACAATTTATGGCTTTCTTCCCCAATGGCAGCGGCACCAGCTCCCACGTCCCATTCTCCATTTGACTGTTATATTCAGCATCTCGTGACACTAGCCACTTGTCCCTATCTGGTCCGTTAAGAGCCTCCTCCATGGTCAGTGGCTGAGTTGGTGCAGGTGCCATGAAGCAATACACCACCTCCTCTGCTTCCTCATCAGAATCACTGCTGCTCTCCAGCACCAGCAATGCATCATGTTGCTGCTGCTCTCCACTTGCTCCTCCGTAGCCCTTCAACTTCAGTGCGGCTGCTCGCATCTGACTTTCGATCATGGGTGAGAGACCACAACCTGTAAGTGGGGATCTGATTTGGGTTCTCCTTTGGGGGAGAGTGGGGGGAATCACACGTGTTATGGGATGGGGTTCTTCAGGTTCATCCGTTGGCTCCACACTCTTAACCACGGGAAAATCTGCTGCACCTTGCTCCTCATGTGCCGTCGCAGTCTCCTCCCCAACCCACTCCTCCTCCACCTCAAACCCCAGACTTGCCTGCTGCAGTTGCTGCACGATCTGCTCCTTTGAATGCTTGGACCAGTTCCCATAGGTGATGTCTTCCATGAACTTGACATCCCTACTGTCGA